TTTACAGCATTTGAAAAACAAGCAAATCAAAACAAATCTGGTTATTTTATGGGTTCAAGTTTATCATTATTTGATATTCAGCTTTATAACTTAATACATTTTTTTGATGATCAAGAAAGTGTTCAAAAGGCATTAGCAGATTGTCCAAATTTAAAAGCAATTCATGATAAAGTTGAACAAACACCAGCAATTAAGAAGTGGCTTGCTGAACGACCTGAAACAATGTTTTAATATGGAAGAAAACAAAATACTAACATTCCTTAAATTATTTATACACTCTTAGCTTTTTTTAGTTAGACTTGCATTTCTCTTAAAAGAGTCATAAATAAACATTCACATTCATCATATATAAAATTTATTTTTGATATCAAGAAAATAATGATGAAAAAAATAGCTTTATAATTGCTAAAAGAAACAATTTTCGTTTGTCAACTATAAACTTTTAAATAAAACTTAGTAAATTCAATATAGTATCTAGAGTGTGGGTGTGAGTATTGTATTCATGCAGCACCCATACCCTCTCTCAAGATCCACTCTTTACAAGAAAGAACAAGAGTGCCATCTGACAAATAAATGTTTGTAACTGTGATATGATGAGGTGCTTCGTTTCAGTACGCCATTGTTCTAGAATAAACATTTTATCATAATTGGAAGCTTGCTGCTATCACAACATCATTTGTTTTAAGAACTCAACTATTCCAATTTTGTCAATGGAACAGCTGTTGCGGCAATTAGTTTTATTCAAATTGAAAGAGTTATATTATTTCTGGTTTCTAAAACGAACACATTATTCTTGGAAGTGCTCAAGAGGTTAAATTTACCTCTACATATAAATTTGTAGAATTAATTTTTCCGGGAATTGTTTTATTTAAGCTAACTTAATTTTAAAATTTTAGACGATCTATTTTATCTTGTTGTTTTAAAAGCAGTTTACAAAACTATGTAGGTAGATAATATCTTTCCAAGTCTATCTTCTCATAATTGTCACATAATAGTGAGTATTTCAAACATTGTAATATCTCTTATAAAACATGATAAATGACTGAAGAAAAAATATACTATAAGGCTTGAGTAATTATCTGCTGACATATAACTTTTTCATATAAATGATAATGTCTCACATCTTGAGAAGATCATGAATTAGACTGATAATACTTTGTTAGTGTTCATTGTATAAATAGTTGAAATATATATATATTAGCAATCATGAAATTCATATTTAAACATAAATCATTCAGTACTTGTAAACACAAGTGAAAAATATGTTTCTATGCACATGATTTGATAGAAAAGACTATTGATCTATATTTATTTTTATTATTGAGGGTGTGGGTGCGAGTGCAGTTGGGCGTTAGGATCCATTGACAAGTGCATTAACACCCACCCGATCATTGACAAAATATGGCTACGTTTATTGGTATGTATTCATTACATACATTGGATCCAGGTGCCGTATGAATACAATACTCACACTCACACCCCAGTTGAAATGATTTATTTTTATTAATTAAGATATGATTTAAAATTCAATTTATTCTGAGTTTCTCAGTTATCATCATAAATATGTAGATTGGAAAGAAATCTTCTATTGAATTTAACAACTTTTACTTAAAAGTGCATGCGATAAATGTGAATGTTTATTTATGACTCTTTTAAAGAAATACAATCGAACTAAAACAGCTAAGTGTATATAAATAACTTCAAAAATGTTAGTGTTTAGTTTTCTTCAATATTATAACTTTGATTCAGGTCGTTCAGCAAGCCACTTTTTGATTGCGGGTGTTTGTTCAACTTTGTCATGGATAGCTTTTAAATTTGGACAATCTGCTAATGCCTTCTGAACACTTTCTTGATCATCAAAAAAATGTATTAAGTTATAAAGTTGAATGTCAAATAATGATAAACTTGAACCCATGAAATAACCAGATTTGTTTTGATTTGCTTGTTTTTCAAATGCTGT